GGAAAGGGATGACCTTGGTTTCGACTGTCGGCCGCGCACATTCAGATTGGGACAATGTTTCAGGGCTTAGGACACTGTCAGATGAGGAGACTCCCTGCTAAAAAAAACAGATGTTTCTTATATTGGTGTGTGTGTGCATCAGTTTTTCATTCAAAAACTGAGCTCCTTCTGTTCTTCTGATCGTCTTCTTACTGGATGGATGTGTATGTGAGTTTGTTTGCACAAGAAACCACTCGTGTTGGCGCTCATGTGTTTCCAAACAAATCAATGATTGATTGTGAGATCTGATTTATTTCTGTGAGATTCTGTGTTTAATTTATTTTTTCCACATCATATTTGGCAGGATGTGATGACTTGTGGTTGCTAAGGCAATATTGTTCATATTTAGGGTTAATGATTCGAAACAAACTACTAAGTAGTTTTAATTATTTATGTAGTTATCCACCTATATTATAGCTACACAACTAGCCATAATATGCTATGTGTTTTTTTTCACAATAAATTTTCAATTTTTTTTATGTGAATTTTACTTATGAATTTAGAATTATAGATTTTTTTAATAGTATTTTTAATTAATTCATATATATATACTGAATTTTCAGCATCATTACTCCAGTCTCCAGTGTCGCATGATCCTTCAGAAATCATTCTAATATTCTAATTTGCTACTCAAGAAACATGTAATCAAATAAATGCAGGCTTGGTGAGCAGAAGAGAATTCTTTAAAAAACATTTTAAAAATCTTACTGTTCAAAAACTTTATAGTGTATAAACGAATTTTCAGAGTTTTCCTTTTAAATTTAATTTAAAAGCAACACTGTTGCTTTAAAACAGCAACTTCACACTGATTTGTTGCTTGACATATACCTGTTCACATTGCATAACATCATTTTGAGTACAAAGTCTCCAAGAGGAAGGAAAATGTCAATTCAAACATGTCCAAAAAAGTATGGATTGCAAAAGTAACGTTCATAGCTGTTGTACTGACTGATTCCTCCCCACTTGAGGGGCCCCGTAAAGTCTTTAACTGTTGGTGGTATGTGGTCAAATTGACAGAGCATCAAAAGCAGAAGTGAAACCTGTCGTGTGTACTCAGATAGTGGAACAGTAAAGAGTGGCCACTTCTTTGAAACTTATCAATGAACACTTTCAGTTTTACTCAACCTGTTGTATCATTTTCTAAACATCATTAGGTTTAAATCTTATCTGAGATCAAATCAATCTGTGTCCTCAAAACATTAAATATTATTTTTATAGTATAGAAAGTAGTATATTAAGTTAATATAATAGTTAACATTAGCTATGAATGAAGAATACTTTTACAGCATTTAGTAATCTTGGTTAATGTTCTTTTCTACATATACGAAAACATGTTCACTATAGTATTTTTGTAAATTAACATTAACCAGGGAAAGCATGACCTGATCAAATGTATACCTTAAAAGCAAAGTAAGTGACTTTGGATAAAAACATTTGTCAAATGCATAAATATAAATATAAACCAAGACAAATAAATGATTAAAAATAAATAAATTGTTGATGCATTTAAACTTACAGTAAAGTGCATGTTTATATAGCTACTATTTGTGAGCCTGGACCACAAAACCAGTCATAAGGGTCAATTTTTTTTTAAATTGAGATTTGTACACTATCTGAAAGCTGAATAAATAAGATTTCCATTGATGTATGGTTTGTTAGGACAGGACAATATTTGGCCGAGATACAACTATTTGAAAATCTGGAATCTGAGGGTGCAAAAAAATCAAAATATTGAGAAAATCGCCTTTAAAGTTGTTCAAATAAAGTTTTTAGCAATGCATATTACTAATCAAAAATTAAGTTTTAAAATATTTACAGTAGGAAATTAGCGAGATATCTTGATGGAACATGATCTTTACTTAATATAATAATGATTTTTGACATAAAAGAAAAATCTATAATTTTGACCCATACAATGTATTTTTGGCTATTGCTACAAATATACCCCAGCGACTTAAGACTGGTTTTGTGCTCCAGGGTCACATTTTTATATATTAATGTTTTTACTATTTTTTTCTCCATGCATTAATGCACTGAAAAACAGCTAAGAAAAATAAATATAAACCAAGATTAGTAAATGACAAAAAAAAAATTATTCTTGCTTATTGTTACCTGGTAGTTAATCATGCCTAATGCATTAATTAATGTTGATGTATTTGAAACGTATAGTAAAGCGCATATTTGTATACACTCTTATGGTAATATTTATGACCGTTTTTCTTCATGCATCAATGCACTGAAAAACAGCAAAGAAAGTAAAAAGTACGTATACCCTGCTTTCTGACCCAGATGGTGAAATGATCGACTTATACTCTTATTTCCTAAGTATTCTGTAAGTTCAATGTTTGCACTTCTTTGTGCTTGAGGCTTGTTCAAATGCTTCCCACACTCTCTTATATGTGAAAGAGGAAGTTAACCGGCTAAAGAAGGATGAAGGTAACTCCGTAACAGTCTCACAGGAAGAGGATTCTATCTGCTTCTGGTGAATTGGCCTTTTCCAGTGAGGTATCAGTTACAGTCTGTGACTCCAGATATGCCAGAGCATCACGTTCTCTTGCATGACGTTCTCTAGGACCCCTGAGGAGCAGCATTTTCACAGTTCAAAACTGTTACTATCACCGATTTACAGGCAAACCTCCCCCGACACGTTCCCTCCCCCCACACACCACACGCTTCTATGGAAAGTTGTGGCTGCTTGTGTTGCAATGCTTGATTGCCTGCAGAGAACAGTGTTAGGTGGTGTCTTTCTTGTTATCTTCTTTCTCTTCCTGCACTGGCGGCCCTTGCTGAAGATGACTATATTATCAGGGGGAACAGCAAAACCACAATATGCCATTGTAAACCTCACTTTCAACACCTTGTGGTAGAACTGGGTTCGAAAAACTTCTGTCCATCCTGAGTCAAGCTATCCTGAGCTGAATCAGCGAGGTTAAAATTCACAAGAAGCAAGAATGAATGAAGTTGGAATGGCTTAGGGCTACTACCCTATTTCTGCCATATCTTTTTATGGTAAGAATAGTATTCTATTCCCAATTCAGGATGCTATTTTACATTTTGGTACAAATAGGTCAAACTTGTTTTAAAATTTAAAATAAGAAAATAAAATACTTTAGCCAGTGATATATACACAATCAAGATGGACACATTTTCCAATCTTCTAACACTAAAAGCCATATAAAGGGTCATATTTTAAATGCACAAACAAAAAGAAATAAAGCCAAAACATTTTTTTGCAACACAATTTTTTATTTATTTTTTTGCTTTTATGCTTTGTCATTCTTTCATTCACAAAAGCAAAAGTGAGCAGTTATCTCTTTTAGAAACACCCCTTGTGTGTGAGTACCTGTCATCAATGATAATTAATTTATTGTAGCTCACATCTCATGAGCGTATTTTTAAAAAAAGTAAACATTTAATTGATTATAACAAGTTTCAAGCAGTCATTCAGAAGAAAATAAAATACATTCTAAGGGATAGTGACCTTTGCTTGTTAACAAGATGACAGTGTATGAACATGGTCTTTGCATGCTTATCTTTGTATGTCTGTCTAGACATGTTCTCTTTTTATACAGTCCTGATAAGAGACAAAATAAAACCTCATTGGAAGTGTGTAAGTGCTTTGGCTTTAAAATTGCAACATTTCTTTAAGCAGTGCTGATGAGGCAATCTACCTCTTTAATATGAGGTCAAGACAACTGCATACATACCAATTATGGATAATAAATGTAGTTTAAACCGTTTAAGAAGAAGTAGAGCATATCAAACTGTACAATGAACGTGTGAGAATTCTATTTTCCCTTTGTTGCATTCTAAGGCCAGCAGTTATAAAGAATGCAGGATTCCGCCCATATGTTGAATTCGCGGGAGACTCATAAATCATTCCCGCCACCTGAGAAGGAGGGGATAACCTCTGCACGTGTTGAGCCGGATGCGATTCTTTTGTTATGTAACCAACGCCTATATCTTCCTCACATGCATTACAGTCACTCTAAAGTTCATATTTCTATCCCTTAAGTCGCGCGAGATCTATTGTAACTGTGTATATAAGGAGTGTCTGTTAGAGAACAGTATGTCCTTGTTTACATATATTACCCGCCAAAACAGACCACAGCACAACGTGATCGCAGCTTTCGTTCTCTCTTTTTTTTTTTTTTGTAGACACTATCGCTATAGCAAACCAGACCCGGCATTTGTGAACACACGTGTGTGAGCTACAACCCCCCTTCTTTTTCTTGGTATTGTACGGTTCATTGAGGACACGAGCGCTCCGCGAGGACTCTAGGTCCGGCCTATATTCCCTTCATTCCTCCACGGCTATTCAGCCGCTTTTCCGTGATGGGTTGTATTACATATAAAGCTACAGACTATAATTAGGCATAATTACAATAAGAGTTTTCATTCAACATTTGTCGAATGAGTTTTGGCGCGAGTTTTCTAATGCGGAGGAATTATGGCAGTACATCGCCCTTTAAAATTAAATGGTCTCCATTCGTCGACTCGCCACACCCACTGCCAGCTTCTGTCTGCGTGGGCTCTGACATGCCGCAAGGAGGATCTGCGGTTTTTCCAACGTTTTTTAAAATAATTTTATAAACATTTATTTTAGGTTTGACCGACGGTTTCCATCCATTTCATTCGCCATAGTGTTTGGGGGGAAAAAAAGGTAAGTTTTTTTGTGTGTGCTTTCGTGCATGTGGTCTGTCTACCGGCTTCCACCATGATATTACTAACGTTTCGTGAACGTCTCGCTTACTTTTGCAGTGCATTACTCGTGAAGAAATTAGTTATAGCGTGTAGGAAAGTTGCATTAATGTGGATAACTTCTAGGACTTTTGATCCGCTGTTTAATGCGCAATTATAAAAGGCATACGTCTTTTCATTGACTGTCTATTCTTTCACTCACACTTCAATTTACCTGCATTTTGTGCAGTGTATATATACACGAGTATCAGCTTAATTCTTTTTAAATAATACAATTTTAGCAGTTTGATCATTCCTGCAGATATGAACATTGCTTTTTAAGCCGGTTTTTCATCATGGCGAAACTTGTTTCAGTAAAATCGCTTTAATCAATGCCACAGGAATATAGAAAAGAAGCGTTTGAAGATATTAACGCTAGTAGTATCAATGACATTGTCAGGCAAAAATAGTTTTACTGCAATTCCTTTATAACATAAACACGTTTTAGCTCGTTTTGGTTTATTAGCTTTCAAAAAGTCAAATGTATGATTTAACTTAATTTTTTTAATTTGAGAAATTTGCGTGGAACAAAACTCTCGTGCGGGACCTTTCCAGCTGTTCGGTGACATCACTGCAGCCCCGCCCACCTGGGCGGAGCCACCATTGTAAACATGAATAAAAATGAACGCGCGAGCCGGGAAACTTTACAATCGGCAGTGCACAAGAACAACACTTCGCAGGCCGTTTAGAAACAAGCCGCTTTTACTCGATAGCTGAAAGCCGGGTGGACTTTTACTTTTGGATGCACACTTTCTCTCATATTAAAGGATTCGTTTCTCGTGCGCTTTTCTGACAGATTCCGCGAAGATGTTGCAGGCTTGTTCTCCATCGCACGATTGGCTTTGCGACTCCGAGCCGCTGCTGTTTGACGACGAGTTTTGCTTGAGTCTCATGAAGGACTTGCAGTCCATCCCCACGCCGCCCCAGTCCCCTCCGATGAAAGCCGGGCTCGCAAAGGGTTTATCCACGGTGGATCAGTTGGAGTTAGTATCTGAACTTTTAATGGAGGACAGCGACTTTCTCCAGCTGGACTGGAACTTTACCGGCAGCGCTTCAGCAGCTGATTCGGATCCGCTCTCGGAGGACTGCCTGTGGCAAACCGACAAACCAAACGAGGATAAACTCTTAGCGGTGCTCTCCACGGGTCCCTTGCTCTCCGATATTGACACTGAGATTTTTGCCGAAATCGCCGGCTCTACGCTGGACTGCCACAGTGTGGCGCTCGCCTGTCAGGCTCTGGAGAGCGAAGACTTACCGCTGGACAGCCAGGAGCAGATCGAGTCCACGTCTGATTATGGCTCACTGTCCACTGGAGGAGAATCATCCGCAAGCGATTCTGGTGAGTCTTTTTATTCACAAACGACATTTATTTTGTTATGATGGAAGATGAAACTATTTTAAGATTGCTCTAACACAGTTTTAACTGTTGTTCCATTATGTTTGTGCTCCACAGAGGAGGAGATTGATGTTGTGACCGTCCGGCGGTCGAGCACGCTGACGCGTTCGCAACACCAGCAGCAGTTGGAGGACAGCAGGCGTGAGCAGCAGCGTGCTCTCAAGCGCTGTCACTTTGAAATCCAACAACAGCACAACTATGCCGCCCCACGGCCCGCCTCTCCTCCGCCCCCACCCTCCCCTTGTTCCGCACCCCCTCTCAAACGCTCTCGAGGGTCTGGAGACTCCCACCGAAGCGCGCAGAGTGCGGGACGCTCTCGCAGTCTGGCCTCCCGACAGGGGGTGGACACGGAGGACGAAGAAGAGAGACGGAGGTCGCACAATGTGATGGAGAGGCAAAGGCGCAACGAGTTAAAGAACTGCTTCCTTAGTCTACGGGACAACGTCCCCGAACTGTCCAATAACGACAAGGCGTCCAAGGTGGTAATTTTAAAGCGGGCTAAAGAAAGTATCAGAAATCTGGAAACCGAGAACCAGAGACTGACGCAGAAGAGCGATAAACTTAGAGAACGACAAGAACAGCTGAAAGCCAGACTGGAACGGCTCAAGCGGTTGTGAGGGTCTGGGACTAAAAAAACACCAGTTTGGTCTCTAGATAGTGGTCTAGGACCCTGCTGGTTTGAGGACTGTTAACACTTGTGACTGACTGCAAAGACTTCAATATCTCTAAGGGGAGATTCTGGATTTTTTTCCCGTTTGGAAACATGCATGGTCAATGCAAAAGAACGTTCTCAGTGTTGTGACTTTACATTGTGCTAAAGTCATTTAGTTCTTGAGTCTTAATATGAAGCAGTTTCATATACTCTATGTTGGATGAATAATCAGTTAAAAGCATAGTTAGCCTTAAAAGAAACACCCTAGAAGATCCTCACACATTCTACCTTTTGGTTCTTGGCATACGTTTCTTGTAATATTTTGGGCTGGATCCAAAGGTTGTTAAAAATAAGGGGTTGAATGTAATTTGCAGATGATTACGTTTTTATAGACTAAAGTTTGCATTTGTTGATGTTCAGACTGGATAGATAAACTATATTGGATTCATGTTCATGCATAGCTTGTATTGTTGAGTTCTGGAGTTCTGGAGTGTATTCATACTTGAATCTCACTCTGTTTTGACTCCACGTGTCTTTACTCTGTCAGTTATTGTATGTTCCCTCCCACTTCTATGTTTATCTACCTCTACCAGGAAGAAACCTGGCTATTTTATTGCCTTCATAATGGCAACTGTATAAAATGTTTCTTCAATTTTTTTTTCATGAAAATACCACCTGTTAATTATGTATCATAAATTATTTTTAGGCTTTTTCTTTTTGGTTCATTTGCAAAAAAAGAGGTTCTGTTCATCTTCAACTGCACTTTGTTTTATAAAGTAATAAAGAATGAGCAAGATGACATGTTTGGATCTTTTTTTTTTTTTTTTACTGGCACCATGCAGAAAATCACATCAGAATAACATCAACTTAAAGATTTCAAGGTGTGGTTTCTTGACAGGTGAAATTGCTGGCACACACAGAGTTGCACAAGAATAAAACCTTTAAAGAAAAGCAGGAATGTTTGAGTGATGGAATTTGGGTCAAGGTGAGGGGGTGGCAGGGTTGACATTTGTTGAAAGTCTAAAGGGCCTGATTGCAGTGGGTCAATAAAACACTTAAGTGTAGGAGTTACCGCATTGAAACACTGAGCACAAACTTGCCCCACATGAAACCCATAACTGAACCTTTATGCTTAAACCTTGTTTTATAGTGAACCGAATTATGAAGCATAAACCATATACTTAAGTGTGGTTGATAAAAACTGATTTGGTTTAATGCATTTCTCTCTACATTTCTTTCATTCCTTTCTCGTTACATAATTTACAATTATCTGAATGAATATTTGAAAGTCAAATTCATACTAGTATTCAGAAATGATGCCAGAGGCACTGTGGGTAAATATTTTACCTACTTCCCTAGTTGGCTCTTGAAGAGCAGCACAGTTGTATAATTCATGTAATGTTAAATGAAATATCTAAAAATATTTTTGTATTTGATAAATGGTGCCTTAAAAAAACATTTGTAATCAAGAAATTCATGCTTTTATTCAGCAAACATTTATCAAAAGTGACAATGATAAAAGCATACAAGATTTCCATTTAAAATAAACGCTATTTTGAACTTTCTATCTATTCACCAGGAAAAAATGAAACCGTTTCCACAAAAATATGAAGCAGCTCAACTGTTTTCAACATTGATAATAATCAGAAATGTTTCTTGAGCAGCAAATCAGCATATCAGAATGATGTGTCAGAACGGGTTTTAGACCTCCATTGCTTACTCTCCTTTCATCTTTTGTGCTTAAACCTGTTGGGTCATGGATGCTTTGGAAAGAATATAAGCGAAGTTTGTCTGCATTGTGAATTCTGCATTCAGTCTTTAAACATGTAAATGTGCTGTCATCTAGACAACTGGCCCCTGAACCGTTCTGAAGTTGTAGACGGAGAGGTGCTAAAGCGGCCAAAGCGAGACCATTACGAAAAAGACGAGATCTGGAAAAAGAAACTGCTCCAAGTTAGTTTCATGTTTAAGTCTAGTTTCAGTCATACAACTCGATAATTCTTAAGGGTCTGTGGCTGAAACAGATCACATTTCAGAGAAAAAATGTTTCAATAAGCAAATGTGCTTTTAAAATCTTTATTGTCAACCATTAAATTTCCCACACTTAATGTTATGAATGCTAAGATCAAAAGTGACAACATCTGTAGGAGGGCTGAACACACACGTCAGCGCATGTTAAGCTTGTGTCCTCCTGAGGCTGTTCAGTAGGAAGCAAGAAAACGTCCCGACAAGGATTCCAGACTGTTTCAAAAGCTCATCTTTAAACCAAAGCCCCCCCAAAACACAGGGAATCACCTCAGGTCTGATCCTAAATGAGAGAAAAAGATAAGAAAAGAGATAAACATCTATTTACTTTAGCAATCACACCCATCTTTCTTTGAAAACTGGTGCTTCCACCAATCCACTTAAATACATGACCACAGGAATCATCCTTAGAAGACTGCGAGAAAGTATATTTCTTTTGCATACTGGGTTTGTTCAAGAGGTGGAAATAATGACACCTTAAAAATCATAATTTAATGCATAAACTAATTACCATACACTCTTAAAAATAAAGGTTCATTATCGGCATGAGGAACTTTTCCGTTGCACAAAAGGTTCTTTATATTGGAAAAAGGTTCTTTGCAATAAGAAATATGGTTCTTTTTAGAATGTTTCACTGATGCATCACTGTGAAAACCCCTTTTTGCACTCTAAAAAATGCCGGGTTAAATACAACCCAGCGCTGGGTAAAATATGGACAAACCCAGCGATTGGGTTGTTTTGACCCAGCGGTTGGGTTACTGCCCAGAAGGTTGGTTAAACGTTTAACCCAACTGTTGGTTGAAAACAACCCAATCGCTGGGTCTGTCCATATTTAACCCAGCATTTTTTAGAGTGTGGAATCTTTATTTTTAAGAGTGTATTTGCTGAAAAACACCAAATGAAACGTTTTTCAACAAGCCTGTAAGATACACATCTGTCACTGCATGACAATCTTGGCATTTTGTGCCTTGTGTGAAAGTGTTTTTATCAGCGTTTGTGCTTTAGCCTGTTGGTCTGATGTGGATTGACACTGTTGTGTTTGCTTTCATCACACTAAAGTGTCTCTGGCCATATGCTCCCTCGCAGGAAGGTGACAAGAGACGGGAGCCATGTTTGCGCTGGGACGTTTCACTGCCTTCCTACTGTCATTAAGACATGAAAGCAGATTTTAGAGCTGAAACAGCCTCTTTAAAGAATATTAACCATAAAAGTCACAAAGACATTCATTCATTACAATAATCCTCAGACGTCAGCATCCTCCCAAACCATATTAAAATGCAACCATTACGTCATACAAAATGACCTGGAAATGCCGAACTTGTATTACTTAAAGCAGCACTATGTACCTTTTTCTGTGTTCAAAATTTGCTAAATGTATATAATGAGCGAGTACACCATGAATTCATCTTCCAAACCGCGTTTTTGTCTTATTCCGAATCACTAATTTGATGTTTATCTGCTTACCCCCAGGGCATCCAAGATGTAGGTGACTTTGTTTCTTCAGTAGAACACAAATTATGATTTTTAAGTCCAGCCATTGCAGTCTCAGTCGTATGATGCATGGCAATGGTAACAAAATCTATGAGAGTAAAAAAAACATGCACAGACAAATCCAAATTAAACCCTGCGGCTCGTGACGACACATTGATGTCCTAAGACACGAAACGATCGGTTTGTGCGAGAAACCGAACAGTATTTATATCATATTTTACCTCTAATACAACACTATGTCCAACTGCTTTGGGCGTGCGCACGGCATCCGGTGCGTGAGGTGTGTACGCGCTCTGGCGTAGTTTACGTTAATGGCTGTGTTGATATCCAGCTGAAGAGCAATCAACCATAACTTCAGGCAAGCAGGCTCAGAAGTTGGGAATACGTGGAAAGTCACCACTCCCGAATGAGTTTGCGCGAGAGAACGTAATCTTTTAGTTTTAAGTCGGTTTGAACAATCTGGATAAGCGCAAGTAAGTACCATTTTGATTAGCCGTCGTACCTACAATGACTGTGCACTGTGTAAACAATGAGTGATGTATACGCGCGAGAGATCACTTCCGGCGCTTGCGTAAACTACGCCAGAGCGCGTACACACCTCACGCACCGGATGCCGTGCGCGACCAAAGACAGCTGGACATAGTGGTGTATTAGAGGTAAAATATGATATAAATACTGTTCGGTTTCTCGCACAAACCGATCGTTTCGTGTCTTAGGACATCAATGTGTCGTCACGAGCCGCAGGGTTTAATTTGGATTTGTCTGTGCATGTTTTTTTTACTCTCATAGATTTTGTTACCATTGCCATGCATTATACGACTGATAGACTGCAACGGCTGGAGTTAAAAATCTCCGTTTGTGTTCTACTGAAGAAACAAAGTCACCTACAGCTTGGATGCCCTGGGGGTAAGCAGATAAACATCAAATTTTCATTTTTGGGTGAACTATCCCTTTAAGGGCTAAAATGTGATTTATGAAAGCATTTTACATGCACAACCGACAAGGAGTTATTTCAGCGATGCACTTTCAGAATTATATAAGTGATTGACACACAAATTAGATTTTGAGACATGAATGACTGCTGGCTGTTTTCGGAAAAAATAGCTTTTTGAGAGGTAGCAGTCACTGAAGCGCTCAAGGGCTCGGCACAAAAATGCCAAATAGCCGGTGAGATCCACACGCTACACTGACACGTGAGGCTTTTCGGAGTGGTAGACAAGGACAGGTGTGAGATCTGTTTGAGGCCGGGAAGGGGAACGTCCTGGATGCATGTGTGGAGCTGGGAAAGTATTTTGAGGACAGTTTCAGATCAATGCATCTGTGTGTTCAGCGCATGATTTATGAAGACACACCACACGCACTAACCACAGGGCTAAAGTTAGTCAACTCCATAGCAACATCTTCTCGCCATTAGAAAACAGCACTCAAATGGAGTTTTCAACAGAGAGTGTCTTTAAGAGGCCATTTGCAACAAACCCCATTAAGTTAAGCCTTGGGAATAATGGTAATGGTTTACTTGTGTTTGGAATACACTATGCAACTTTTGAACAGATATTAGCAGTCTGGATGATTCAATCCAGTCAGAGGGTATCAAACATGTTTGATATTTTGAGCCGATTATAAGAACATCTCCTAGCAATGAGGCACATATTTCTGTGTGAGTTTGTGGTGTTTGAAATGACTTGAAAGTCTGGTAGCGTGTGATCCTCAGGCTTTTAGCATACAATGCCTAGTTTTTCATCTGTAACAATTCATAAAGTTGGTGAATGTATTATGCCTAGTGTTTTAAAATCTCTTCAAATTTTAAAAGTTGTGTAGTGCATTTCAACCTTTAAAGGATAGCTCACCCAAAAATGAAAATTATATCATCATATACTTACCCTCATGTTGTTTAGCTTCAAGCACAGCCTAAAACACTTAATCTTATCAACTCAACTAAACCTCACTGTCACAACAATGAATGGTTTTAAGGAACTGACAGAAACTTCCCTGCAATTTTAAAGCAAAGTGGCTTTATCTTAATCCCAATTTAAGTACATAATGATTTACACTCAACAGATCTCAGATCCATGTCCTTCTTTGCTTTGTTTTGGGACAATTGATGAAATAAAAAAAACTTTTAAATTTTGTGCATAATGATTTATAGAACTAACTAGCCAGCATATCTAGACTAGCTAATCATAAAGGAATTAAAATAGCCTCGACAAGAGACCATAAGTATCATATGAATGATGTTTATGGTGAAGCTAAATTGTTTGACATCACTATTTGTGACTTTCTTTACAATCAAAGTAGAAACACACACACAACACATCGATAACTTTACGATAATTTTAAATGCCCATGGACATTTTGGTCAAAGATCTCTAATCCCAGAGAGAAGAGCACACGGGTGAACAGAGGTTTTAGGGTCACACCCTAATGAAGCCTAATCCCCCAAAGGTTAAAGGTCACTGTGTATCCACTTTCCTTGGCATAAGAAGGTTCTTTCTTTTGTGGATGTTAAACCTCCTTTTTTCATGCCTTCAGAGCATAATGAGAGTCCAGTCACAGAGAGAGAAGCGCCGGGGTAATTAGGCGTAGAAGCTGATAGGGTGTCATTAAACATTAATGGAATTTATGTGGATTATTTGAAGTATGTCAAATTGTGTCGGAAAGATTAGTTCACATAAAGGCTTTTAAACTGACAAAGGAATGATAAAAGCTTGGGGTGACATGTTAGCCGCTTTGCACAATATATTTCTTTTTATTTTCTAAGGGCGCCAAAATGCCGCTCGACCGGTTGGGTCACACGGGTATCACGCTCTCACGTGCGCGCACAGAAACACACTTTTTGAGAAACTGCTCTGTGTTTCAAAGTGAAAAGGAAGTAAAGTGCCGTTCATGCTGCCTATCAAGAAAAAGATGAATCGTAAATCACAGGACCTTCCTAGAATCTTCCAAGAACTTCCATTGTTGAGGGAGCTGCCGGGCCCCTCTCCCTCCAGCATGAGGCCTTTCCTCGGACCGTTTCCTTCGCCATGGGGGGGCTTCACCCCTGAGCTCCTGTAGGTGTGAATGTCCTGCAGCACATGTATGTACACATGCAGAGAGGTTAGGGCACACATAAAACCTTATTTTAAGCATAAATCTGAAAACAGAAAAAAAGTATTCAAGTTTATGCTTAAAACAGAAAAACATCTATTTGCCAGTGGGGTAAAAAAATTACCTTAATGTAGTGAAAAAGTATGTAATGTAGTGTTATATAAATGTTTTACACTATATTAAGGTAATTTTTCATTATATATATATATATATGTGTGTGTGTGTGTATGTGTGTGTGACCTTGGACCACAAAACCAGTCATAAGGGTCAATATTTTGAAATTGAGATTTATACATCATATGAAAGTTGAAAAAATAAGCTTTCCATTGATGTATAGTTTGTTAGGATTGGACAAGATTTGGGTACAACTATTTGAAAATCTGGAATCTGAGGGTGCACAAAAATCAATCTTGACCCATACAATGTATTTTTGGCTATTGTTACAAATACACCCCAGCGACTTAAGACTGGTTTTGTGCTCCAGGGTCTCACACACACACACACACACACACACACACACACACACACGCACACACACACACACAACCACACACACACACGCACACACACACGTAATATACATATATAAATATATATATATAATTACTTAGTATAGTTAGTTAAAATGAACTTGTATATATTTTTATATATTTACAATCAAAATATATTGTTCAAAACATATAATTTTTTTTTACATTTATTCAAAAATTTATTTTAAGATAGGAAGTGTATTTTCTTGCCCCCTTTAAGTGTTTTTATAATATATTTCAACATATGAAGATTTAAACAAAATATATTTTCAATTTTTTTTGAATATTTTAAATAGAATTGTTTTTTCCCTATGGGTTTTACTGAAAAAAGCACTGATTAAGTATTCTACTCTATAATTATAGTATAAATAAAAATGATAAATAATAAAGGTTGTCTGCTCTTATGCCATCTATAATTTGTTTACAGAAAGAGATAGATCTTTCACTATCTTTAGTTGCCCACAGGCTTAATAGTTCATTGAGGATTTATCGGCTAAATTACTGCGCAACAGCATTCTTTCCCTTCATTTCTCTGAGTGAAACACATCTGTGGGCAAAACAGGCACAATGAGAGCTGAATGTGAACATGATAAGAATGTAAACCTATGAGATTTGTTTTAAATTTCAGAATTAGGAATTCAGAAAGAGGAAGTAACTAAGAAACGTACAGCAAAGAGAAGAAAAGAGAAGTAACGAGAAGAAGCTGTGACAGTGGGGGGAAATGCTAATTTGTAGCTGTGGTGATGTTTTGATGTTAAAAATAATGCATCATGTATTCCTGCTCACTAACAATGGAAGTTGTTACACGCATGTTTGTGTGTGCAAGAGTTGCACATGATTTTAGAGTTTTGCATCATTCTGTTGACACAAACACACCCAAGTATATTTGTTCAAAGGTTGGTCATTCTTTAATAGAGGCAATGTCCACATTTGTACATAGTGTGCCACCTGGTCAAAGGCAACTGAGGTGAGATTATATGAGGTCTTTAAGGGTTACAAGTTTAGCCTGAACTTGTAAGCATGCTTTAAAGACATGTTGTTCCATCTCTCTCCAAATCATTTCCAGTCCTCTCTTAAAAAAAAAACTA